TTTCAAATGAAAATATTATTACACATTTCATCATCATATAGAGACTGGTCATATATTGGAGAAAGTGAGAGTTTGTGGTCATGTTACATGTATGCCTTTGTGCGTGTGTGTCGGGGTCTGTGAAGAATGTTAAGCAAAATGGCTCCGTGTCTTCTCTTATTTTGACGACATCACGGCGATACAACAGTATTCGACGTACAAAGCGCCCAACATGTTTTGAAAGCCATTGATTACATGTAGTCAATATTACTTATTGAACATAGATGTCCAATATGGATAAAATACTCTTTTGTGACGCAAGTGGAAGATAGGCAGTCTTGGTGCTTAACATTTGAAACTATTCATGCCCCCTCAGCGCTTAGTACACCTAGTACGGTATTGGCTTCACCAACTGATCAGTGAACCAGAGACCATGTCTTATCAGCCTTTTGGTCGTAAACATTTCTAAAACAATAGAAGTATATAGTGAAGAATACTGTTGACTGCCCTTGAACAATGCCCATTGTCGCGAGTGGCTCCTCCGCGAAAGTGCGTTATGGCGTTAATAAATATCAACCATAAAACTGCATGTCAACATCGTGCTATGTATAGAAGGGATGGGGGACTTTAGGAGACACTGCCTCGCTATAAGAATTATATGTGAGTCTTTTATGTCAAGGGTATGGTGTAATGACAGTGAATATTTTAAAATGTAATATTTAAGAACTTACAGAACGTAATGTGATTACGAAATGGAACGCACAAGGTTTCACAAAGAGATCTCTTTGGTCCACTAGATATGCATGTTAAAAATGAATGAGGTTAGTTTTATGCCGCAGCAATATCCTAGCAGTATCACGTCGGGGACACCAGAAATGGGCTTCACACATTGTGCCCATGTGGGGAATCGAACCCGGATTTTCAGCGTGACAAGCGAACACTTTAACCACTAGGCTACCCCACCGCCCTGTGTATCTTAAAGGTTAAAGGAATGATATATTATTGACAGTGACTATGTTAAAATGAAATATTTAGGAACTTAATGGGACATTGTGAAAATAATGTGGTTATAATGCAACGAACAAGATTTGACAGCCTCGATTTGGTCCGGATATGCATGTTTAAGAATAGAGCTAAGCTTTTTGATGTGTTTAGAATGAAAACTAGACATTGTATAATTCAACACAACGAATACGTTAGCTGATAATATGGAGTTAAGTGAGTGAGTGAAAGTGGGTATGGTTTTACGCCGCCTCTAGCAATATTCCAGCAATATCACGGCGGAAGACACCAGAAATGGACTTCATATATTGTATCCATGTGGGGAAGCGAACCCGGATCTTTGGCGTGAGGAGCGGACGCTTTAACCACTAGACTACCCCACCGCCCCTGTGGAGTTAAGACGTTTAGATCTACAATGGAAATAGGCTCTACTTAGTAAAGTCCGTCAATTTGGTCATCCAATGAACGAGTCAGAACATTTCCAGAAGTACTCCAGCCTTGAAGTACAGGTTTTAAAAACAGAATATAACAGATACAACATGAGATCTCGTGGCTTGTTGGCGGTGGGGTAGCCTAGTGGTTAAAGCGTTCGCTAGTCACGCCGAAGACCTGGGTTCGATTCCCCACACGTGTACAATGTGTGAAGCCCATTTCTGGTGTCCCCCGTTTTGACATTGCTGGAATATTGCTAAAAGCGGCGTAAAACTGAACTCGTTTACTCAGACATAAAAGGTCGTTAAGGGAGGTAATCAAATAGTCGATATATACATTGGAAGACTACTTTATTCTATATTCCCATGTGGTTATCAATATTTTGCTTTGTTTGTCAAAACGGATCTTTAGAAGAAAACTACTGAAGCATAACATAAAGCTCTCGTTTATAACAAGTGGTAACAATTACAAGCAAATCCAATTACGTTCATGGGTCGTAAAATGTAATTGTTGGCCATATTGATTTGCGTAAAGGGAGATAACTGTGTTAGCATAATGTGATTACCTATCTTCTAACGCGAGAGAGCATTTGCAATAATAGCCCTTGCGTGGATGTTGTGTGTATTGTGTTACGTGTGCTAAAATAGACAAGATTTATCATCTGTGGAGTTAACTGAATAATATTGACAGTAATTATATCTCGTGATCTGGACTGACACCGCCCATGGCTGACAGAACTGTTTTCCTTTGCCTCACGACTTAACAGATCATTCTGCGTCATTGATAGCATCTTTTACAGAAAAAATATAAACATGTTTTTTTTGTGCAAATTCACCAGAAACTGATTGAATAATTTTACTCAGTATTGCATAAGAGATGTATTGCTTCTTAAATCACGATATATTCATAAGTTGTCCACCATCACCCCGACAGTCCGGACACCACGCTTTCCGGTCAATCACTGTTTAGAACGTGCGCGTATAGGGTCATTAAGCCGAAATAAACCGATTAAACGAGGTACCACTATATACGAGTATGCTCACTTCTGTTGCTTAAACGCCCAGAGAGCGGAAGGTCGCGGGTTCGATCCCCGGCGCGTCATACCAAAATACATTAAAATATGGTACTTGTTGGTCCCTGCCTGACGCTCGGCATTAATGGGTACAACAATGACTGGTCTGTTCGGAGACAGTATAATGTGTCTGAGTGGGGTATTCATGCTTCACTGCGGCATGGTATCTCAGTGAGCTAGCACTATAAAACCAGCTTAAGTCTGGGCTAGTACAAGCAGCCGCACATACACATACACACGCATGCACGTCGCCATATGAGCACGACGTTAAACCCAATTTCATCCCACTTCTGTTGCTTAGACGCAAGGCCAAAGTCATGTCTTTAACAAAGCTGAAGTGTAAGGGTATTTTGTAGTTTTCTGGAATATAGCACGCTGTTCAACTTAAAACAAATTAAATGGTGGTCAGGCTCGCTGATTTGGTTGCCACATGTCATCGTATCCCAGTTGCATAGATCGATGCTCATGATTTCAATCATTGGATTGTCAGGTCCCGACACTATTTACAGACCGCCGTCATATAGTTGGAATATAGATGAGTGAGGCGTTAAACAACAAACAGACAATATATAGCACCAAAAATACCGACGTCGTATATATGTGTGTACAAATTTGCTGTAATAAAGAAAAACTAAAACTTTGAAAAGACAAAAATGATGTGGAAGTGGACCAACTTATTTCGGTACCCGTACAGCTCTTTTACCTCTCTAAATAACATGTGTCTACCTTATAGTTTTCATTCAATTCTTTTATTACAGAAGTGTCGGCCATCGGCCCATAACTACATAGGTTGCATTGTACATGGCAAAACATGGCGTGTACAGTATAAATTGATAATTTTAACATCTTAGATACATTGCATGATAGATAAAGCTAGCTAAGTTATTTATGAGCTTACAATCTGATGATGACATGAGGAGTTTGAATTTGGCTTTACTTGGATTTGATACAATATGTTTAAGGCAAATGGTTCAAGCGGAGATGTTTGAATTTGGAACACACGAGGAGAAGATGGTATTCATCCTCAATATAACCTTCGTCGCACTGTAAACATAATCTATCATTTCTATCTATATTATAATACCTTCCAGTTTCCATACGTAACTGATATGTAAAACATCTAAACTGAGCGAGTGCTACTCTAAACGTTTAAAATGTTTATCACATTTAAATACAATTCCCTGGACAATGAAATTTTGAAGTAAGAATAAAGCATAGATTTGCTGCCATTTTGAAGTGAACTATACCAATTCTGTTCATGAATACATTTAAGTCGACTATAGTTTTTAAGAGCGTAAACATATGAAGCTGTCAAGTTAAACTATCTGAACCTAACTAGGCGATCAATGTCCACTATTACCGACTGAATAGTTACAAGATAGCGTGTTGCATAGTATAGTTACATTAAGGTTACATTATGCGAGCTTAACAAGGTAATCAATGGCCTTGCCACAACAGGTTCCACCCAGCCTAATTGTCAGGCTAGTCGAAACATAGTCCTACAAGCAATTACATTTTATCTGAATCTGGCGAGCACGCAAGCGGAACAGATTGGCCTATTCTGGAACACACTCCCGCGAATGTTATTAGAAACTGAAACACATATATCCCCCACACTGATCAAATGTCCGCCCAATTACCGCAACATATCTGAAGCACCTGCTCAACCAGATTCACACACGGTTACCAGGTACGCCGTGACAGTTGCTAAGGGACGCCACGCAGGATGGGTCCATTAACGTAAACTTGAAATGTTCTTAAAGTTCTTTCATCAGTTATTGGCTCGGGTGGAGAAGGATGTTTGGATGTGATGTGGACTCTGTGATATTCATTATGAGATATGGATTCCTTGGCATGAGTGTCCTGGTTTCTCTGACCTGGTTTTCAAGAACAATAATTTCGAATTGATTTAAGGGCGGGATGATAAACCAAGTGTGTGAGTTCTGCGAGACAAACTTGGGATAATTGACAATAGCAGTTATAACAATGGACTGTGTTAATCATCCATGGAACAGACCAGTGTGTCAGTTCAGCAACTTGTGATTTAATAGATTCTGGCAGGTTTTTCTTCAGGTTTGAATTTCAGGACACAGAGTGCAACATCTAGCTACAAAAATAGGAATTCCTGTTTTGACGTTGAATGATTCGCTGGCCTTAACGGCTGCAGTACTTGTTTGTTTTTCTTTCTTTTCCTTATTTATTTTTTAGAATTTATGTTTTAAAGGAAACTATAACGCACCAACTGGAGGCATTGGTTTTGAAAGCAGGATCAAAGAAATCCTTGTATTTTGTAAAGCGAAAATATGGTGTTAGCTCGTGCTGAAGGCGGTAAAAAAAGCCGCGGGTAGCGGGGCGTATATCAACTAATTCTGCCACGGTCAACTTGTAGATAAACTAATTACATAAGACTATCTGTGTATAAGGGATTAGCGTGAAGTAATAACAATGTTGCGACATTCGCGAGGCCGTCTAAGACCTTCAGACGATGACGTTGAGTTGTTTGTGTCAACGACAGATATAAACAGCGTCGCTCCTAAAGGTCAAAAGGGGAGACAACACAGACCGGAACTACAGCGAGAGTACTCGGAACTGACTAAACAAATGCACGAAGAGGTTGTCATGAAGCTGTTGGAGGACTTCGACATTGAGGACACCAAGGACAAGTATCGATGCAGCCGGGGGACAATTATTTATGTTCCCAGACGCAGGGGGTGAGTTGAGAAAGTCCCGCTCTCTCTTTCTCTCTCGCTCTGCCTTTGCTTCTCTAGATCACAGTGCTTAGACTATCCCTGTCAAACAAACTTACGTCCTTGTTGCCGTTGTACAAAGCGATCTTTGCGCTAAGGTGATCGTAACTCTCGTACCTTGGCACAGACTTATGACTGGTGTAGCGCTAAGGTTGCTTTACAACGACACCTTGGTCAATAACTTCCCCTCTGAGCGGTATTCCTCTGCCAATGGTTTTATATCTTTAATTGCCAAAGAAAATATGCTCAAATGTTTGATGGTGGTTAAAATGAAACAAATAATCGACGGGGATGTCTTTGATTGGGGTGTCATATAATCAAGCGGGGGAAAGTCACGTAGCGTTAGAGTTAGAAATCCTTGATTTTTGGCGGCCATCTTGGATTTTTCGGAAAGTGGGCCCAAAACATCGGGCACCCCCAAAAATATGTTTTATCATGATATTCCCCAGCACTTGGCAAAGTTTCATGTTTAGTCCGCCAAGTATCTATTTTCACCCCTTGCCAATGCACTAATAGTTGTGTTTTGAACTAAAGTACGCCGTGTTTCGGTGACAGTTTTCAGCCAAATAACGTACTCATAACATTTGCAATATTTTGGTCAAATCCAGTTAGGTTCAAGTGTAGATTTTCTTTCGCACGGCAGTGAATGTTAGGATAGTTTACAAGGGAGCTGCTTATAACGGTTTAACTAGGCACATGCGTACTGTTAGCTGATAATCATATGTTTTACGTAACTTTTTATTCTTCACGTCTCCCCTCTCTCTCTCTCCTCATTCTCTCCTAAAGTCTCTCTCTCTTCTCTCTCTCTCTCAATCTCTCTCTCTCTCTCTCTCCCTCTCCCCATTCTCTCCTAAAGTCTCTCTCTTGTCTCTCTCTCTCTCTCTCCCAAAGTCGTTCTCTCTCTCTCTCTCTCTCTCATCTCTCCTAAAGTCTCTCCTCTCTCTCCCTGTCTCTCTCTCTCTCTCTCTCTCTCTCTCTCTCTCTCTCTCTCTCTCTCTCTCTCTCTCTCTAAGGTCACATATCTTCTTTCGGACTTTTACTTCTCTTTTTCCTTCAGCTTTTCCGCTTTCCCTCGCTCATTACTAGCGAGTAGAGGTAGCACCAGTGTAGTTATTGCTGTATCCTGGTGTTTATTAGCACAAATACATGTGCGTCTTGCCGACTAGTTTTAACGGTTGTATAATGCTTGTCTATTTAGATATCGTGGTGCAAATAATCATGGATAGCTAAACACAGTGTAGTCCGGTCCTAATTATACCCCATTAACGCCAATCATCAGGCAGGAAAAAAAACAAGCACATTTTTAGCGTCTTCTGCTGTGATCAAACCACTGAACTACAAGAACGGTGTACCTAATCATGTATCATTCGACAAAATGAATATAATCTCATACAGTGATCATCGATAGGGCGCGCCAACTGGTGCCATTCGTTACCAGCACACTTGCATCCGGTTAAAGGGGGTGTTATCACGGGGTTCTGTGTCATTCACAACCACTCGTAACTTTCCGGCATAGCCCGAGTCTGTTCTTTGGTTACGAACAGGAACGAATGGTTGCGAATGCTGTGGTGTCGTTGGCACTGGAAAGTGTCTCACTGTGACTGGAAGTGTTATATATAAGACACTTCAGTATCCACCTCTACCACTGACACAGTTGGGCTAAAGAGATGGACAGAACTAGTTGATGATGATCGTTTGTTGGAGATAAATATAGACACGACGTGTTGATGCCAGGATTAGTTGGTGATGTCAGGACTGGTTGGTGATGTCAGGACTGGTTGGTGATGTCAGGACTGGTTGGTGATGTACTGGTTGGTGATGTCAGGTGTAGTTGGTGATGTCAAGACTGGTTGGTGATGCCAGGACTGGTTGGTGATGTCAGGACTGGTTGGTGATGTCAGGACTGGTTGGCGATGTCAAGACTGAATGGCGATGTCAAGACTGGTTGGTGATGTCAGGACTGGTTGGTGATGTCAGGACTGGTTGGTGATGTACTGGTTGGTGATGTCAGGTGTAGTTGGTGATGTCAAGACTGGTTGGTGATGCCAGGACTGGTTGGTGATGTCAGGACTGGTTGGTGATGTCAGGACTGGTTGGCGATGTCAAGACTGGTTGGTGATGCCAGGACTAGTTGGTGATGCCAGAAGTAGTTGGTGATGCCAGGACTAGTTGGTGATGCCAGGACTAGTTGGTGATGCCAGGAGTAGTTGGTGATGTCAGGACTAGTTGGTGATGCCAGGAGTAGTTGGTGATGCCAGGACTAGTTGGTGATGCCAGAAGTAGTTGGTGATGCCAGGACTAGTTGGTGATGCCAGAAGTAGTTGGTGATGCCAGGACTAGTTGGTGATGCCAGGACTAGTTGGTGATGTCAGAAGTAGTTGGTGATGTCAGGACTAGTTGGTGATGCCAGAAGTAGTTGGTGATGCCAGGACTAGTTGGTGATGCCAGAAGTAGTTTTTTGTGATGCCAGGACTAGTTGGTGATGCCAGAAGTAGTTGGTGATGCCAGGACTAGTTGGTGATGCCAGAAGTAGTTGGTGATGACCGAACTAGTTGGTGATGCCAGAAGTGGTTGGTGATGTCAGGACTGGTTGGTGATGTCAGGACTGGTTGGTGATGGTGAGGACTGGTTGGTGATGTCAGGACTGGTTGGTGATGTCAGGACTGGTTGGCGATGTCAGGACTGGTTGGTGATGTCAGGACTGGTTGGCGATGTCAGGACTGGTTGGTGATGTCAGGACTGGTTATTCGTTCAGCTCATTTAATATTGATTTACTGTCAGCAATTTCCTCATTCTTATCTGTAATAACTCTATTTATTGCTTTGCTGACATAATTTCTTTTTCTAAATGGCAGAAGTATTTTGTTGCTGTTTCTCCTTCTTCATACCGTAAGATTTTGATTCCTCTTATTGTTGAATTCCTCTTATCTCTTCTTCTTTAATTTGTTGTAGTTCCAATTTTAATTTTGTAAGGTCAGATAGTAGGGATTCATTAATATTTTGGAAATCTTTTCTAATATCATCTTCACAGTCTTTGATTTTAATTTCCAATTCACTGGTCTTATTTATTGTTTTCTTTTTGAGAAAAGATGAAAAAGAGATTGATGAGGATGACTGGTTGGTGATGGTGGGGACTAGTTGGGGATGTCAAGACTGGTTGGTGATGTCAGGACTAGTTGGTGATGTCAGGTGTAGTTGGTGATGTCAAGACTGGTTGATGATGTCAGGACTGGTTGGTGATGTCAAGACTGGTTGGTCATTTCAGGAGTAGTTTGTGATGTCAGGTGTAGTTGGTGATGTCAAGACTGGTTGGTGATGTCAGGAGTAGTTGGTGATGTCAGGACTGGTTGGTGATGTCAGGACTAGTTGGTGATGTCAGGACTGGTTGGTGATGTCAGGACTAGTTGGTGATGTCAGGACTGGTTGGTGATGTCAGGACTGGTTGGTGATGTCAGTGATGTCAGTTGGTGATGTCAGGACTGGTTGGTGATGTCAGGACTGGTTGGTGATGTCAGGACTAGTTGGTGATGTCAGGACTGGTTGGTGATGTCAGGAGTAGTTGGTGATGTCAGGACTGGTTGGTGATGTCAGGAGTGGTTGGTGATGTCAGGACTAGTTGGTGATGCCAGGACTAGTTGGTGATGTCAGGACTAGTTGGTGATGCCAGAAGTAGTTGGTGATGTCAGGACTGGTCAGGAGGTGAGTTGGTGATGTGATGTCAAGACTGGTTGGTGATGTCAGGAGTAGTTGGTGATGCCAGGACTAGTTGGTGATGCCAGGAGTAGTTGGTGATGCCAGGACTAGTTGGTGATGCCAGGACTAGTTGGTGATGCCAGAAGTGGTTGGTGATGTCAGGACAAGTTGGTGATGCCAGGACTAGTTAGTGATGTCAGGACTAGTTGGTGATGAGGGTGACAAGTTGGTGATGTCAGGAGTAGTTGGTGATGTCAAGACTGGTTGGTGATGTCAGGAGTGGTTGGTGATGTCAGGAGTAGTTTGCGCCGAGGATGACTGGTTGGTGATGTCAAGACTGGTTGGTGATGTCAGGAGTAGTTGGTGATGTCAAGACTGGTTGGTGATGTCAGGACTAGTTTGCGCCGAGGATGACTGGTTGGTGATGTCAAGACTGGTTGGTGATGTTAGGTGTAGTTGGTGATGTCAAGACTGGTTGGTGATGTCAGGAGTAGTTGGTGATGTCAGGACTGGTTGGTGATGTCAGGAGTAGTTGGTGATGTCAGGACTGGTTGGTGATGTCAGGAGTAGTTGGTGATGTCAAGACTGGTTGGTGATGTCAGGAGTAGTTGGTGATGTCAGGACTGGTTGGTGATGTCAGGACTAGTTGGTGATGTCAGGACTGGTTGGTTGGTGATGTTGGTGATGAGGACTAGTTTGATGTCAGGAGTAGTTGGTGATGTCAAGAGTGGTTGGTGATGTCAGGACTGGTTGGTGATGTCAGGTGATGTCAAGACTGGTTGGTGATGTCAGGACTGGTTGGTGATGTCAGGACTGGTTGGTGATGTCAGGACTGGTTGGTGATGTCAGGACTGGTTGGTGATGTCAGGAGTAGTTGGTGATGTCAAGACTGGTTGGTGATGTCAGGACTGGTTGGTGATGTCAGGACTGGTTGGTGATGTCAGGAGTAGCTGGTGATGTCAGGACTGGTTGGTGATGTCAGGAGTGATGTCAGAGACTAGTTGGTGATGTCAGGACTGGTTGGTGATGTCAGGAGTAGTTGGTGATGTCAGGACTGGTTGGTGATGTCATGACCAGAAGTAGTTGGTGATGCCAGGACTAGTTGGTGATGCAGAGAAGCTGGTGATGCCAGGACTAGTTGGTGAGGACTGGTTGGTGATGTCAGGACAGGGTGATGCCAGTTAGTGATGTCAGGACTAGTTGGTGATGAGGGTGACAAGTTGGTGATGTCAGGAGTAGTTGGTGATGTCAAGACTGGTTGGTGATGTCAGG